CTCTCTCTCTCTCTCTCTCTCTCTCTCTCTCTCTCTCTCTCTCTCTCTCTCTCTCTCTCTCTCTCTGTGCCCCCCCTCCCACTACCCGCTCGCTTTTTCCCCCTCCTTCCTTCTCAATTGCATCACTTCTGCCTGATCGATCCCAAACTTCAATTCCTGCCCTTCATCCCCCCTCCCAATCTTTCCCCCCGATCCGATTTTACCCATCCACTTCTCTCCTTGTCCTGTCTCTGTCGCCTCCCTCTTCCCACCTTTCTCCACCCCTTTCGATCCTTCATCGGGATCCCCTTCCGCTCCTACCTCTCCAATACTCGATGTGGCCCCCCTGTCCTTTCCTCTCTTCCTCTGTCTGTCGCCCTTTCTCTCTTCCCCTTGCTCTCCTCCTCCATCATCTCCATATCCAAATTTACCCTCTCTCTCTCGTGATTCACCCCCCTTCGTCATTATCCTGCTCTCTACTTCCCTTACAACCTGTTTCCCTCCCTCCGCGCTGAGCCCCTCTTCCCGCCTTCCAATCTCTTCTTCCCCACCTTGTCCGGATCCCGATCCACAACCTGCATTCAATACCCTGTTGCCTTAGAATTCTTTGTCCTCTACTTGCTCAGTTCCTACATCCCGACCCCGATTGGCTGCTGCCATTTCGACCTACTTTTCTCGATCGCACATCACACTGACCCCCCCCCCCCCCCCCCCTCCCCCCTACTCCCCACCTTTCCAATCCTCATGGCCCATCCCCTTCTTCAAGAATTGCATCCCCGGCCTCCATCCTCCTCCCCATTTACTTTAGGATCCTCCTCCTCGACGTCTTCCCCTCCACAACCTCCTTGACGCTTCACCATATCCCGGCGACTCTCCTTCTGCTCCCATGCAAGGTAAGATTGCAAAGGTGAAGCATGCAATCTTACCTTGCATGCTTCACCTTATCCCCGCGACTCTCCTTCTGCTCCCTCTGTCGCCTCATCCCCATCCTGACCGACCAAATCCCGACCCTCCCGTCCTCCTGATCCCTCATCACGACCGCCCCCCTTCATCCGTCTCCTGCTACTCCAGCCCCTCTAGATTTCGATGGCGACCTTGTACTCTCACTGTTTCTCCATTTCAGGGCGCAGACCCCTCACCTTCTCCTCCCTGTAGGCTGACCAGGCACCTGACCTCCCCCTAAATTATTTTCTCCACCTTCCTCTCCGCATTCAGGGCATGATCCCGGCCGTCACAAATCCAGTCCGGTTTGCAACATAGCACCCCCGCAAAAAATGGAGTTGCAGCCCTAAATGATCGGAGGGAGGGAGGAACGGAGGGAGGGAGGGAGGGAGAGAGAGAGAGGGTGCACTTCGCCACACCATGCAAACCCACCTATTTCGTTGTCCGGTCGAGTGTGAACGGAACTCTCAACCTCATTATGCACAACACCTTGTTGATTGAGAGAGAGATAGAGAGAGGGAGGGAGCGAGGGAGGGAGGGCGGGAGGGCGGAGGGCGGGAGGGAGGGAGGGACAGACAGGCAGGCACCGGCAGCGGGAAGAGAGAGAGAAAAAGAAAAAAAAGAAGAAAAGAAAAAGAAAGAGAGAGAGAGAGAGAGAGAGAGATTAAGAGAGAGAGAGAGAGAG